TTGAAAATTAAATGATGGTACATCAATGAAAAAAATATGTCATCTTAAATTATTTCAACTTTCGAAAATTATCACTTGTCATTAAACCAATAAATTAATTGCTATAATAGTGTTCAATGATTACCATAAATTATATAATAATAAGTAAGAGCTATATTTTGTCACACAAAATATCAGCTCTATCACATTAATACGAGTATTATTTAATTAATAAGAAGTTTTAAACTATGTTTTGCCTGTAGATTAATAACAAGTCATAAACTCATAAAGACTACCCCGTACAGTAGACAAATATACGATGGTAACAATAGGTACACTTATTTTAATACAACTAGGTAGCTACTCAATTAGTGGATATTAATATTCAATGAGTATAGGTAGTGACTTTTAACATTTGAGTTTGATTTTGATTTTGACTTTTACTTTGCACTTGTGACATATTTTTTTTAACAATAAATAAATATACATTTATATAGTTTTTACCTTATTAACCATTTTGTATTATTTGTTTTCTCTGACAAATAACATGTCATTATTTCACTCGAATCGTACATGCCTTATAGTTTTTCATTGAATCAGTTTCCTAAAAAATCATTTAATTCAAATCGACGAATCGAGGATAACCAAACACATACAATATTGAAATCATTTGGTTATGAATTGAAAAATGTCAATTATTTATATACTCCATAATAAATCTTCATAAATCAAATCCTACATCGGATTTAAGAACATCTAAAAAAAAATGTTTAAGACTAATATTAGAAATACGTCATTGACAACATTACTTCAATACCATATCCACGCATACGTAATAGCAGGTACCCAAGCAATATTATTAAGGGAGGTATTTTATTATTCAATAGGTAAGTAAGTACGAACTTCTAACGATAATATTATTAATAGATAACGCCTCAACTAATAATTGCAGTATTCGACGAAGTATACCTAACCGTCATAATTATATGCACTCCGTTAAACTCACTTAAGCTAAATACCCGTAACGGCTCTGAGTTTTGAATAAATAAATAAAAAGAAAAAAAACAAAATACAGGTAGGTAGCATAAATTATGGGGATCGCAAAAAAATAAAAACGCAGAAAAGGATTTTGATGTTTTCATCACATGAGCATGCACGTCGAGGAGCTTTTTATGCAATATCGGCCAGGCCAACATACATATACACTCGACTTCATTATAATCCATACAGCTGAAATTTAAACGCTTTATATCAAACAACTATATAATAACGCACATGCAGAGTACCTATATTATATAAAATAAAATGGGTTTTGTAACGAGGTCGATGAGTACTGAGCATTACTGCTGCACATCACGGATGTACGATGTGCACCGTTGTGAGAGATAAATCAGAAAATATAACATATACTGGAATATTATGTTTACTTGTTTATTATAAATATATAATTGCTATTGATTTCGCTTTAAGTTCTTTAAGGACTTGTTTATTGTATTAAAACATAATGTGTTTAATTGATGAAACGCGATTTGCAAAATATACTCACTTATAGTTTATAATCAGTGGCGTAACTTCAAAATTTGGGCCCTGGAGCGAGATTTTCAACGGGCCCCCCATCGTCCAGGTATATATATTAAGAAGATCCGGGGGAGCGTAATCACCTTACTAAAATAACTAAAAAAATTTTTTTCAAATAAAAGATATTAATTTAATATTTCATATTATATACATACAAAAAAAATTAGTAAACAGTTATAGCAGTTGTAACAAATAACAATTAACTCAAAACTTAAAACATTCTTCTGGACTTCTTATTTGCCAAAGTAGAAATAATATCTGATGTATTAAT